TTCCTGATTAGGATAACTTAAAAAAGGCCAACACCAATTGATTTCTTTACTTTAAGATAAGAAAAGGATGAGGAGATGCTGTGAGAAAACATCAGATTCCAGTGGCGGTTCATCCTTCACTCCGGTATGCTCAATTGCAAACACGTAGAATGAGAGTGAATCGATTGAAGATGCACTGCCTCCTCCTTCAGAGACTAAGAGTTGTCAAAACAAACTAGACACTGGAAAAATTGTGACCTGAAACAATAGTCCCTATGATTTCATAAAAATTGTCTATAGCCACATTCTTTGATCAAATATGCCAATTGTCTACCTTAAAACCCTTGTAACTCTTCCTATTACTGTTTACGTACATTAGCATTCATGTTAATTACCCAATTATTCATCGACTTTCAAGCGTGTTTATAATACTGTCAATGAATTATGCAATGTCTGGTACTTAAATTTAATATTCCAACTTACCTTCGTGCACATTATTCTTGAGTAATATCATTTATTTATTCATTTATTTCCAATGGCAGACGTTTTGACTGTTATCATTGGCCCTTTAGTTGACTTTAGTCTTCACAGAGGTGAGGATCATTAAAGTGAGAAAAAGTGGAGAGTGAGAACAGAAGAGTGATGCACAGATGTAAGAGTGGCAGACAGACAGACAGACACTAAGGCAGAGAAAGCGTAAAATGTGTACTGTAAAGTGGTCAGATATGACATAGAGTGGATTCATGGTAATTTGAAGTGAGAAGTCAACTGCCAATTAATAGTCTATTTTGCCGTATGAGTATACGTTGCCCAGAGTGCATCACGTGGAGGTAAGTCTATCGCACACCCCTATAAAGTTAAACAAAGTAAATAAGTAGGTTTAGTTAAAGAAGCCGTAATTAGATTTAAATAGGAAATATTAATACCCAATAAACGATAAGGTGTGGGCGGAGGAGAGATGGGTGGGGGAGGAGTTGGACCGGAACAAAAATCTTGTCATTTTAGACAGGATTTGGATATATATATATACACTCAATGAGTAGTTCACTACATCAAGATCTAAAATTCAAATTATTTAATCTCCAAAATGACTGATCAGATTCCTGCTTCACATGTTCAGCGTCAATTGACCTGTTGAGTAAGTAGGTTACGTCACTATTTTCTTCACATTTTCATAATTTTTTCACGACTGGGAAATTATGGTGATATCTGATTGAATATTCTATTGATTAAATAACTGCTTATAGTAATGAATTATTAGCTGTGAATAAATATTTGATATGCCATTTCATCCACCCACGAGACGAAGTACTTTCCAGATTAAGGAGATTTCAGTTTAAGTGAAACCTCCTTAAAATATTAATGGTTTCTGCAATTAGTATTAGTGATTTTGACGTAAACAGGCATATTTGTGATATATATATCTACTATTTTTATTTGCAACTCTTTATGTCTCGGTTTAGGCTATATGAAGATGCTATCTCAGTGGTCTTACTGGCTTATTAAAATTATAAATACTTCCGATTGAAAAATCATTTTCTTTCGATTAACCTGTTTAACCCTCACTTGAAAAATCTTATTTTGACACACACACACAGTGCAATCAGATATGCCCAAAATGTTTACTTAAAATTAATTGTTTTATAATGACGAAGTTTTAAATGAATAGCAAAATGGTTTTAAACATTGAAACCTGAAAAAATATGTTCAACGAAGTGAAAAATGTGTAAATATGAACACGAGATTAGTACGGCATTAGTGCTCAGTGAAGATCAATTTAGTTTTACTCGATAATTTCCTTTTGTTTATATAGAAAGGCTACAATTAATCCAATTATTGTCATAAATTTCTAGATTTGTGAGAATGTACAATAATCTTCAAGGTTGAACGTTAATCGTGCAATTCACTTTTCTTTGTCTATAGAGAACGCTTTCGGAGATCTTGCCTTGGCTATAGGGTAACCTCTACAAATGGGTTTAATCGTTAAAACAAAGAGGCCAAAATAGGCTCTGGCAAACAATGTTAACTAATAATTGGAATATTATATTGAAGACAGTCACAACCTTGACGCCTAGTAAAATTATGCGAGATATCAGTTCGGAAAATTTGGTGATGTTGTTTTTTTATCTCTAAGCTTTCTATTTTAGTTTAAAAGTATTTATTTCAAATGGCGGACGTTATGATTGGTATCATTAGCCCTTTAGTTGACTTCGGGCTTCACAGAAAGGAAGAGGGACATCAAAGTGAAAAGGTCGAGAGGGGGACGGAATAATGATTCACAGACGTAAAAGAGACAGACAGACACAAAGGTAGAAAAAAGGTGAGATGAGTCCTGTGGAAGTGGTTGAATTTGACATACAGTGGGGTGATGGTAGTTTGAAGTGAGAAGTCAACGGCCAGCTAATAGACTTTTTTGCCGTATGAGTATACTTTGCCCAGGGTGCACCACGTGGAGGTAAGTCTATCGTACACACCACGAGGACCCACGAGGATTCTTAATTTTTAACTTAAATTCATAGGTCTTTTTGTGGTCAATCAAAATTAAGATGTTTTATTTAATCTCGATGAGTTGTCTAAACGGATAGAAAACTTTAGAAACCAAATGGGCGGAATCTATGAATGATGGAATCTTAATGCATTTAAAATTTGATTTCGTTTTATTTAATAGACATACTTTGTTATATCATCTTTTCATTTCAAAGAGAGAGAGAGAGAGAGTGAGAGAGCTTGATCTTGCTAACTTCATAGACATATTTTCTTTCGGCACTTAAAAAGTGGCCGTTTGGTTGATGATAATATAAGTTCATCTCAGTGGGAACTCGATAAAAGTGTTTTCATGCGACTGAAAGATGTGCATTCAAGGGCCTTCCTTTCTTGCAAGGCCAAGCAAAGAGATAGGGGAAAAGGTTACAACTTTGACACCCACCTTAAACCCCTTATTACTTGAATTGTAAAAAATAACTTAGCTAACAGGAGAATGTACTTTTCTCATCGAGGTATGGTGCTCAAATTAAACAATTTTTATTCGATTTGAAGGTTTGACGATTGAAGTTTGCAAATAGCATAATGCACACAAATAATTTGTTTATGCAAAAAATGCTACGAAAATTTCATAAACGAACTATATCAAAACACATTGGAAGTGGAAGGTAAATAGAAGGGAGTGCGTTCATAACTCAAGAGCTTTGTGTTCGCATGAAAAAAATTGGCCGGCAAGTTTTCACATGATTTTGAAGCCATCCGCCCCCCACACCCCCCCCCCCCCCAGTTGGTAGATCGTCTTTGAATTTGTTTAAATTGACTTGTCAGTTCCATTTCGTTTAAAAAATACAAGAACACACTGCGAATCCACATATTTGATCTCTCTTTTGCACACACCTTTTAGTTGTGGGGGGGTGGGGGGGGGGAAGGTGGCTGTCAGTAATGCAAGGAATTACACCCAACGCACAAGTTCTTAGTGGCCTCGTGGTGTACACCTGTAATCCATCTACTTGTGGGCTGGTTGATGGTAATTCCGTTAGCCTCCCTCCCCCCCTCTCTCCTTCGAAGGATGTTATAGGTAACCCAATTATCTGACCTACGAACTTTCAACAAATGTAAATAGAGTTGAGTACGCATTCCCATTCGCTCGGTCTGAAAGTTATATTTTCAATTATGCTTGCATTGTGCAATTGTCATAATGCTCTTTCTCATAGTGTGAGAAGGACATGAATTATAGCTTTCTTTCTTTTTGGATTTAGAACATATTTATAAACGGAGAATTAGCTTTTTTTGCAAAATAAATAATAAAATAATTAATAGCAAACCTAGTTTTGCAATGAGGAGTGTGCAATAGACTTACCTCCACGTGGTGCACCCTGGGCAACGTATACTCATACGGCAAAAAAAGTCTATAAGCTGGCAGTTGACTTCTGACTTCAAAATACCATGGCCCCACTGTATGCCATATTCGACCACTTTCACAGTACTCATTTTACCTTTTTCTTTGCCTTTGTGTCTGTCTGCCTCTTTTACATCTGTGAATCGCTCTTCTGCTCCCCTTCCTCGACTTTCTGCTACTTCCCTCTGTGAAGCCCGAAGTCAACTAAAGGGCTAATGATAGCTATCAAAACGCCTGCCATTTGAAATAAATAAAAATATTTAGAATGGATCTAAATGCCGAAAAATCCTGCTGATGCAATTTAAAAAATTTGTGAGACCAGTCTCGTACCTATCTAATGGGCAGTTGCCATGGTAATACAAATGCTAAAAAAGGGCAAAGACCCTAGCAACTTTGACTACTATAGGCCTATCTCTCTCACAAGCATGCTGGCTAAACTCGTGGAAAGAATGGTTACCACGAGGCTGACCTGGTTCCTTGAAATCAGCAACATTCTTAGAATGGAACAAGCAGGTTTTAGGCCACAGAGATCAACAAACCAACAAGTAGCCACTCCCTCCCAACTTATCAAAGATGCACTTGTTGCAAGAAATATCCTTACGGCTGTTTTCGTCGATTTCACATCAGCTTATAATCTGGTACGAAAAGAGAACTTTATTCTAAAATTGACAAAGATTGGCATAAAACACAGTAAGCTAAACTGGATAAAGCATTCATTGGACAAAGATCATGCAAATTCAGATATGGAAACGATCTGTTCAAATCTAATCTTTTACAAACAGGCCTACCACCAGGAGTTGTCAAAAGCTGCTCTTTTCAACGTCTTCATTATTGAAATAGCTGAACTTGTACAGACAGTCACGGGCATCAAGTGCTTACTTTATGCAGATGACCTTGTTCTATGGTATTCCGCCCCAAGAAGAAATCTCAGAAGAGGATGGAAAGTGCCCTAAATTGTGCACTTAAACTATTAGTAAACTGGTGTCACAACAACGGTATGGTGATCAACACATCTTAAACTGCATACCTAACATTTCCATTGGCCCACCATAACATAAATCCTCATTTAATGTACAAGGATACTTCTCTAGAATTCACTTATCTCGGAAACTAACATGGAAAAGCCACACTTCGAAATTAGCAGAACGGGCCTCCAATAGACTGAACGTAATGAAGCGCCTCGATAGAGCATATGGGGCCGTGCACACTCAACCCTAAACACCACTTACAAATTGCTCGTTCAGCTAATATTGTTGTCTCTGAGGTGATTCTCAAACCACTGAAGAAGACGCACAACCAGGGACAAAATCAACACCCATGGATGCAATACCTCTGGTCACAAGGAACACCACACTACGTTCCTTTATTGAAGAGAAAGCCTTGACTCTGCATGAGAAGCTACTGCGCATTCCCAGGAAAAATTCTTCATACCTACGAAAATAGGCCAAGACATTTTAAAAACGCAAGATGGCCCAATACAAAAAGCCATAGAACTGAGGAAAGCATTAAAAATAGATGGCAAGCTAAAATACCTCTCTCTACCCAAGAACCCATTAGCAGACACAGATGTACAAATTGATATCCAACTGCTTGACCATTTCAGGAAAGCAGATAACCCTCCAGATCAAATATGATCATTGGCCCTTGAGACAATCAACCTAAACTATCCTGCAGATCAATGACTCCAGGTCTTCACTGATGGGTCACACGTAGAAAACCAAGCAAACGTTGGTGCATGTGTTTACTCTGAACTATTTTCTTTCTTCGCGGCAGCGGGACAAAATACATTCTCATTCAAAGGTGAAATAGAGGCCATTAAGGTAGGATTAGGCCAATTGTGTTGCCTGGATACGAAATTCACCAAAGCAGTAATTCTTTTGAACTCATAGTCAGCAATAAATTCAATTGGAAACGGAGAACCACCCAAAACAGGCGAGATACATGAATGCAAAAAATTGTATCAATTATTGAGAGAAAAAGAAATAAAACAGTGGTTCTACAATGGATTCCTGGACACTGTGGCATTATAGGCAATGAGGGTGTTGACGCACTTGCTAAGAGGGGGACTACAATTTTGCAAGGCATCTTTCCACAGAATGAAGACCTTAATCAGGAGAGAATTTAAGACTTTAAGATGCAATGAGCTTAAAAATCGAACAAAGGAGAAGCAGTGGACAATGACACACTCCAACATAGCCGACTGGTCAAGAACCGAAGCTGTTACAGAATTTAGACTATGTACCGGACACGATTGCTTGGCAGAGCACCTTCATAGATTAGGAGTGTACACTCAACCAACATGCCCCATGTAACCTACAGAAGGAAATGGAAAAGATCCAACTGATTCGGCAACCAGCCCCAAAGACAACGACAGAAACACAGATACTGGGAAGTCAGAAATCAACTTATGAACTACTGTAAACTATCCTAAAGCCTACATATATGTTCCTCCCACCCCCTCCCCTCTTGTAAAAGCCGAAGTCAACAGACGGGCTAATGGTTAATATCATAAAGCCTGCCATTTGGAATAATAATAGTGTTAACTAACTTTATAACTCATTTGATTTAGGATCCACTCGGAGAAAAAGGCGAACAACTGTCCTTCTACGCAAGACACAACGCCATAATTCATACTAAATTCATGACTGGCAAATGCTTAACTTGAAAGCCTTAAATGATTTCGATTAGCCTTGACTGTTTTTAGCAACGTCTTTTTATCCTTTTACAGATTTAAATTTAAATATGTTAAACTTATTCAAATGCTAATTTTATACCTGTTAACGCTATAAAACTAAAAGAGCATCTTGATAAAACATTGATTGAAAAATTTGCGTGCTTTGCTAGTCCTTCAAACCACTGGTAACTGCAATCGATCGTTATGAATAGAGAGAGAAGCGTCCTCCACTGAAGCCCCAGCTATTCCTATTAAATTCGAAAAAACTCGATCAAAGCGGTGCGTAGCCAATTACCAATAATCAACCAACCCCACATTAACCGCTCTCATACGTGGCCTTGAAAGACAATGCTAAGACTTTATTTTTCAAATCAAATTTTAAAATTATAACCTCCGTGCTTGTAAAAAGCAATATTTTTTAACATTAATGTGTAGCGGATTGCTACTTTTATGAAGCCTGACTACTCAGAAATCTCTGTGGCAGAATCTCCAACGTCTAGCTAGACTCCCAAAACTAGCTAAGCTATAGCCCAATTATAGAGGAAACAAACGTATAATACGGAACACGTATATTCAGTCACGTAATGTTAAGAAAAGTGTGTTTACAAACAGTTTAGTTGTATTCAGCTTGGCTGCTTAGTTATAGACACTTGGCGGCTTCTGATTGGTCACTCGTATTATTGTCGTTTGCGCGGAAAGTTATACGGCTGCGTGATAATGGGATAACGTGTCCCACAAATGAAGTTGGTAGATAAGAAAGCTAGTGATTCACTAAATGGCATTAGTCTTTCCTGGGTCACCTAACGATCCTCGTATTTCCTACAGATCACAGTTTACTGTTGTCATACAATATCCATTCCGCAAAATAATATCACCCAGTATCTTCAGCTTCATAAAGAAATCCGAAATTATTCATTATGTCACAGCCCAGGCTCATGCAAATTACAAGCGATCATTAGGAAAACCGATATCATAATTTTCATAATCTTATATTTCTATAAATTTCTTTCGGCAACTTGATCTCTCTCACTATGTTTGAAGGCTTCTATTAATTTTGTGAGTCAGGAGCAAATTGGAAGACCTAATTTACCACATATTGGAGCTTCGATCTTTTACTTTAGCAAGAAGGGATAAAATACCATTGCAGAGTTTTTGATCCTCTATATATATACGCATGCGATGATTAAATCACTCATTTGCCTATAAAAATAATTTGCTCAACACCATAGACAAGAATTTTCCAGATTTCTGTTAATTAGAGTTTGCTATGATTTTCATGTTTTTGACCTTTACCCCAGAACATGGTGCAACCTGCGCAACACAACAATTACATGAAAATTCATATTCAAGCGGCTGTAAACCGTTTCAATTCACCTAAGTGGGTGGGGGGGGGGGGGTTCAGGCCAATATTCTGGGGTCAGTTATTAACCCCACGCGACTGTTGTAAGAGCCTCCAATCAGTGGCTCTAAAATCCTGGCAAAACATATTTGGTAAAATCACTCTAGCATAACTTGATAAAACACTCACCTTAATTAATCTAAACAAATTTCTTTCATTAACGTTTTTTCAGGATAATAATGCAGGTGTGGGGTGAGCGATAGACTTACCTCCAAGTAGTGCAACCTGTGTAAAGTAATCTTATTCGGCAAGAAGTCTATAAACCGGTAGATGTCTTCTGACTTTAAACTACTACAACCCCCACCGTATGTTAAATTCCACCATTTCCACAGTCCTCACATTAATTTTTTCTCAACCTTAGTGTCTGTGGCGTTTACCATTTCACCCAACTGACTCACAAAAGATGTCTTTGTTTTCGTACGCACACACACACACACACACACACGCACATACACATACACTGGTAGACAAACTTGCCATTTATCTACTCTCACCTCTCCATCTTCTTCTCTCCAATTCTCGTCGTGCCTCAGTCAGTGCACTTGGACTAACAAAATTCGTTGTGTTCTGCTTTTAGAATCATCGTAAGCTGATGTCAGTTGTCACCTACTGTCTTAACTCTGACGACTCTATTCTCTTTAGTAGTTCTTTCAAGGGGTGTACGATAGACTTACTTCCACGTGGTGCACCCTGAGCAACGTATACTCACACGGCAAAAAGTCTATTGACCGGCAACTGACTTCTCACTTCATACTACCATCACCCCACTGTATGCCATATTCGACCCCTTACATTTCCTCTGCCTTTGTGTCTGTCTGTCTGTCTGTCTGTTTTACGTCTGTGAATCATTGTTCTTTCCACCCTCTCGACTTTTTGTCACTTTGATGTCCCCCCTCCTCTCTGTGAGGCCCGAAGTCAACTAAAGGGGTAATGATGACTATCAAAACGCCTGCCATTTAAAATAAATAAATAAAAGTTCTTTCAATTTATTGACCCATAAATTGGTGACCTCTGGTCTCGTTACTCGAATCCTGCAACTTGGTGACCATATGAGCAATCTCCCTTTCACGCAACGTAAGTTTAAAGACCATTTCAAATATTGGTGACTCATTCCTTGGTCAAATCCATCTAACGTTCAATCACTTTCCATTGCGTTCAAGCAAATTTTTCCCGCTGTTTATAAATTGCATTTACGATGCGAGTTGGAATATAGCAGGCATTGTTTTCAAACGTTCTATTAATTATTGAAAAATGAAATATTGCCTCTTTTTTGTATTCCCCTCTCTGTAGTCTGACGTGCTTACGATTTTAAATTGCTATTTTTGCTTTTGATAATTATTTTAGTGGTAAAATGCCTATTCCATTTCACTGGACAGCTTGAATTTTGAATAATTTCACTTAACTACGAAATGAGAAGACTCGTGCACTTGTCTTCGAATACTAATTTCTTCCAACAAGAGGATTCCTTAACTAGCACGACCACCCAAAAATTGTATTAACCAACTCTCAAAGCAGTATGAACCAAAATAAATGGAAAATACACTTTTTTTAACTATGCGATGTTTAAACCGACGTCCTTTAACCTGTTCCAACGTTTTCAGCTCCATAAACGCAAAATTTTTTTTACCATATTTGCCTTTAATTATGAATGACATTTTCTTATTAAACATCATTTGAGGTACCTTGTCTGAATTCATTTTTTCCGACTTTATGTTTCGTTAGTTTACTAACACGGATGTAATATTGATCGTCGCCGCGTGAAACTCCCTTCAAATCGTTCTCTTATTCGATTCACTGATGACAAGGCTTATTTTAAAACCCGCCAAACATCGCCGCGCTGGTGACTTGTAATTACGCAATTTAGCTGCCTAAAACATTTTAACTGTCTATAATGTGTTGCGACTAATGAAGGAGTGAAGAAAAATACGAGATGAAGCACTGTTGTAACTCAATTACTTGCATTCTAACCAGTTTTTAACAGCTATAAATATTTGCCTGTATAAGCAAAGGGCTCTTAGTTTTTTTATGGCGCCAATAACAAATCATTAAACCTAACGAGGCTAGGAATGCATGTTTTTGTTTTCAAATGAAGTGTATACATTGCTTTGAATGGGTGTCACCGATTTCGATATCACCGAAACATGAAAGGAAGTTGACGAGTCATTTCATGCTGGCCTCGAAATCTTTAATTTTGCGATTATTTTTTGTATTTCTGCTAATCTTGCCCACGATAGCGAAATGTCTTCCACGACCTGACCACTAGCACAACTTGAACTTTATGCTTTGACCTTTAGATAGGATTGTAATGACTCACACCATGCAAACGAGCATTTTGACGAAATGTGCACACAGGGAGGCCTTATTAAATTCATGGAAATTAGTTTTCAACTGCCTTAATGAAGCATTCACTAGTAACGAAAAGACATTAGTAAAATTTCAGATTGTTTCCTACTAATTCTCTATGAGGAAGTTTCAGATATTTTTACACCTGATGCAACACCTGAAGTGGGTTTAATTAGCCGGATCGATTTTCGACGATAGTTCACCAACTCCCTGAAGGCATAATTTGGACAGGGTTTGTAAAGAGTTGCTAAGCTATGTACACGAACGGTTTGGGGATACCACTGGGAACAATAATGCAACCGCTTCAAGGCCACTTTTGTAACTGTCAGTAAAGGCTCAGTAACAGAGAAATGAGTAGTGTACGAGGGTGGACAAGTGGAGAGGAATTAGATGACCAAGTTTGCTAGATCGTCTAGAGAATGATTATAGCCTAAAGAAGGTGAAATGCATTGTAATAAGAAGAAAAATATTAAAAAACGCAGTTAAACGATTTGGATTATAGTGAGCCATTTTTTTTGTTTTGCCTTGTTCATGTAAGTCGAAATACCCCGGATGAGAATTTTGATTTGTTGTTAAGATTATCCGGCAAGTTCCTTTAAAATTTTTCAAATAAACCTGCCCTCAAAATTTGATAAATATGGATTAGTAAGAGTCCAATGAAGGTACTTTCTCGAAGACGCTGTTAGTGAGCTCCGCTTGTTAAAACCTTGCAAGAAATTAAAATAAGGTAGGATTCGAGTAATAAGCCCAGATGTCACCAATTTAGGGGTGAGCAAATCGAAAGAACTAATAAAGGGAATAGAGTCGTCAAAGTTAAGACAGTAGGTGACAACTGACATCAGCTTACGACGGTTCTAAAAGCCGAGCACAACGAATTTTGTTAGTCCGAGTGCATTGACTGAGGCACGACGAGAATTGGAGAGAAGAAGGTGGAGAGGTGAGAGTAGATAAATGGCAAGTTTGTCTGCCAGTGTGTGTGTGTGTGTTTGTGTGTGCGAGTGAGTACGAATACAAAGACAGCTTTCATGAGTCAGTTGGGCAGGGAAGTTTGTGGGATTATGAGTGGAAGCATGCATTTGACCAAACCTAGAGAATAATGGTTAAAGGGAGAATAGATAGACTCGTTAGGACTGACAAAGCAGTTGACGTTATTGAGCCGCGTTCTACCCTGGAGATACGCAAAGTTGATGAGAAATTCGGGCTGCAAATTGGTCCAAGAATAATACTCCTGTTCATTCCAAAATTCCACGGAGAACATGGAAATCTGTCAGGTATCCGAAATGTTTTCCGACTTCCTTTACACCCCCTATGAAGGTCTGATTATTTAAAGCGTGGTGATGTTCATTCTCAGTGTAGACACAGTTTGAAATTTTAGATGTTGAAATTGGTTTGGAACATTGTATTATGGCACAGCACCCATTATAAAGTGTGTGTGTAATTTTTCCTTCCCTATATTCAGATGCCATTTCGCAGGTGTTAATACTAAATCTGAATACGGTAGGATTGATTGTAACATTGGGGTAGTTGATATTTCAGCAAAGAATTCAAAATAACTAGAAATCACCCGTTGAACTTCGTTAATTTGAAACATATCAATGATTTCCAGAAATACAATTTTGGCTAAAACTGTTGACGAAGAATTCCACCCTATTTATTTTCTATTAAACTAATATTGTTGATCATTTCAGCTACTGGTTATGAAGTGAAGATTTTAAGTCACAAAATGTACGTTGAATATAAGCCAGATACGAGCAGTTTTTCTAGATATTTCGAGCTCTATGAATTATTGTTACTAAGAGTGAATTGAAATAAGGCCCATAATTGATATACTACGCATATATCGTATTATTCCTAATTGATAATTAGTAAAGGTTCACAAAAGTATACTCGAACACCATTGGCTAAGAACACGCGCCAATGATAATGCTCTAGAGCGTAGGCGCTTAATTTTACTGGATCATATCAGGCTGAAACACACTAATACCCATCATGCGCATATATCATTAAGCACATGCATACAAACTTTTCACATTCGTCTCCAGCTTGCGGTACAAAAGCGAGCGTATAGTTTTACAAATCATACATATCCTGGTATGACGCCGCTGTATCACGATTATGTTTGAAAGTGGGTATTTAGTCCCTCTCGTAGCCGAAAGACTTGTCCCAGTTTCTGGAAATCATTCCCTCATTGGACATGTCTTATCCGGATGTCTGCATAACAATTTCGATAGCTCTGCATGGATGTCATTTGAAGCTCCCAGAATCCTCAATCTATTCATTGTATTATGCATTTTACTCCTGGCGATTTCCGCTATTATAATTGGCCCCTTTATACAAACTCTTATCTCATTTTCAAAATGTGATCGGCGAAAAACAGGGACATTGAGGCCGAAACGCTGTCGCATTACAGCCTTTCTACTCAGCTTCATTTCTTGCTGGCTTCTACTGATTGTAGCTCTAATTTTCCTTGCCATATTTTTCTCAGAACATCTCAATTTCAGCTCCACTCAGGGTGATGGCTTTGTTGAACGAGTAGATGAAATATCCCATAGAACTTTCACCCTTCTTCGATCTCTAGTGAATGAAAGCAAATTAATTACTAATGACACTATATATGGCACCATGAATGATCTTTACGCTGATTTACTCTTAGAAATACCTACTATTACGACTAATTTTCTAACTCAAACAAACTTGAAAAATTCTTTGTCGATCCTAAGCGATCTCGCCAGCACAGTGGAAGCTCTGCTTGATGCACATACTTTCCTAAGAGAAAACGGGCCCAAAGTTGCCCTTGAGCTTGAAAAACTGGATTCAAGCATTCGAGGGAATGTCGAGATGCTGATTCGTGAGATTCAAGAGACAAGGAGAGAGTGCAGAGAATTCGATGATCAATTTCCATCTCTTAAGGCCTTCAGTGATTCTATAAACGAACTGGTTGAGGGTCTTCACAAGGAAGAGCTCCATGGAGACACATTCTTCAAACTCTTTCACCTTGAAAGTAGTCTGGGTCTTTTCAACATGCTCAACGTTTTTCCCTTCAACGTTTCTGAAGTGACAAATCAATTAAAAAGCGTAGTAAAAGTTCAAGATGATTTAGATGCTTCTATTCAGGAGAACATGGAATATCGCTTTACTCAGATGATGAAAAATGTCGCCGGTATGGTCGATACCCTCGCAGAGTATATTAACAAAGGCCAAGGACTGATCAATCAAACAGAACGCACTTATAATCGGAAAATTAGGGAAGTGAACGGGACTTTGGATTCATTGAAACACGCATGGATTTTTGCTTACTTTGTTGAAATGATGGTGGCGACTGCTCCGCTTGTGTTGCTGTTCTCCTCCTGCATGTGTCACCGACACAAGGTCACAGTCCCCATCAAGGAAATTTTTCCTCTACTGACAATCGATGAAGTTGTTTCTGCTTCATCTTCCGGCTGTGGGTCATCGGAGGATGAGACGTCAACTTTAACTGCTCCTGGAAAACAAGTTCCTGCTGCAATCCATCCCATTGACAGAAACTTCATCGGCACTCGAGAATTATTTTCAGAACCAGGACCAGAGAGTTCAATCTCCTTTGATTCAGACAGTGGCTGCCCAAGAGATGACTGTCGGGCAAGTCTGGGTGGTGTTTTTTCTTGACTACTTTACATAAATGATCCAATCTCTGCCTTCTGACAAAATATTGTTTATATTTCCATCCCTTTGAGGTCATCAAGTTTAGTGAAATTAATTAGGGAGCGACTAGTCAGCATAACCCCGATAACAAGTGAGGAAGTTTTCTTTCTGGTCAAATGACAAAATTTCGTTGAATTACTACGGAAAGCTATCTTTTCTACCCAGATTTCGGAAAGTGTAATTCCCTAATATGGGTCATGTCTGAACCACTTAAAGAGAGTCCCACTTTAACACTAAACGGTGATTTTACTGTCTTGAAACTCGGGTTTTTCTCCATTATTTGTAATTACCTAAATTCTGGGTAATAATGCTATTTGAAGCTGAATTAAATAAGAATACCACATTGGTATATTTTGGGATTTATCACCTATGGAAAAAACCCATTATTTGCTCTGATTCGTGTTTTGAAACTGGAGCCTTTAATTTCAAATGCTTTATAGTTTTGTTAAGGATTATCAATTAAAATTTTGGGGAATTTCTTCTCTAGGCTGAGTGTGGTGTGTATCGGAAATAGTGACCTTTCTTATGAAATTAAATTAAACTGAAGGGAGTGTAAAGATTGAATTATTCCAAGTCACCTGTATTCTCTATCCAATACGAAACAGTCGGTGTGAGGATCAACTTTACACATGAATATTTTTGTTTATTTTGAGATGAGTACTTCCACATCGCCTAGCACTATCATTTCGATAGCTAACTGTTGATAAAACTGCTCATTCACTTGTGTTTCAGGGTGAAATTTTGTGGTCCCAAATGGGCACGTTTGAAACGCTGGGTGGAGGGGTCAAGGTTAAGGAAACCAGAGCAGGTGACCCAAAGCATCGTCGGTGCAAGGGCTGTGCGCATCTTGTCTCTTGCTGTGGATTATTAACACTCTCTCTCATCTGTCTGCCCCTTATCTTTGCCATTGGATACGTTCATGTCAACGTAAGTTCTGATTTTATCTCTACTTTCACTGGTTAGTTCTAGCAGCAAACAATCTTCACCAAATAATTAGACAGAAAGCAGTAAGACTTCTCCATAGGATGGATGACATTTGGTACACGTACTCAATGCTAACTCAGCAAAGTTTGTTGTTCAATATGATTTGTGTCCGTGGAGTTGCTGTCCACAAACATGACTAGCTAGCCAAAGGTCATTGATTTAGAATTCATCCTCCCTAAACCACTGAACAATTTGGTCAAGATAGACCAATGGAAGGACGGTAGAGTGTGACTTTCTCACTAGAGACGCTTTGGAGTGCTGTTCTAGGATGTGGACTTGAGAATTATTTCTTGCCATAGACTTAATAGCCATAAATGACAACTTTAAGCTCTTCTTGACGTAAGTAGAATTCGGGCCACTATGAGCCCACTTTATTGATGGCTTAAAGTTCAGTAAAGAAAAACCACCTTTACTCAGAGTTGAATTCATCTCCAATTCCTGATGGAATTTTCGCACAACAGAATGGGTAAACAGTTAAGCATATCTATTTACCATCTAAACCGATCTAAATGAAATTGGCTTACTGGGAGTGATACCAGTTCCTGCGATTTTTCCACTGTTTTGATCATAAATGTTGGCGAATGTAAACAAAGGACACATTGTTACCAAGCCTAGGAAAGCTTTTTTGTGAGTTGTACGAGGTTTATTTTCTCAAAATGCCATTTAAATTTAGATTTTGTGTTTAGCTTTGCTAGTAGTGTTGTAGCCAAGTTGTGCCAATGTCGTCTCCCCTTCAATGGCTTGATGAGTTATTGCTCAAATGAAGCGATATTTCATTGGGAGATTTATGTCTTCAATTTCTCAACAATAAATTTGAAAAAAATCAGAAATTTCATCAGCATTTGTATGACTTTGGCTCTTTGTGAATTAACGTGAATCCAAATCATCTAACGGGGCCGAAAATACGTGCTCGGCTTAGTGCCCACAACTTTAAGCAAACTAATTAATTTTTATGGAAAGATTTTTTACATCATTCGCTGTCTACGCTTCTCTAATCAATTAACGACTAGACTCGTCATTTGAAGATGGTTGCAAGATCATTTCTCTTTCATTTTTCAATAAACTATTCACAAAACGGAGTATCAATTGGCTCCCGTGAGCCAATGCGTATGTATCCTCATTTCAGACACTTTCTCATTGGAGACTTTTGCATGTTCATTGCTCTGAACTCACGCTTTGTTCTCCATATGAGAGACTATGACCTCCCCTTTTAAAATCCGAATGTATCTTACTTCAATTCAATTTAGATTCCATTGTTATTTTGAGACAAACTTTGTCCATAATTGAAATTTCGTACGCTGGTCAATATTCAAATTCGGTGTTACATTCATTCTAACATTCATCTTGATCAAATTAAAATAATCTATATGCCTTTTATGGCGGGAATTCGGATTCTAGTACCCTTATTTATCTCGCATAAATATATTTTCAAAACAAGATTTTGATTGAGGTAAAAGAAGTATGCACTCTAACATCTCTCTATTACAACGCATTTGGCCATTTCAATCGCCAATTCGGATCGATCCATGAGCACTATTTAAAGTCGATTGTTTATCCTTTGACTTGACAGACACAGGGACCATTGTCAGCCTACCCCTCCGCCCCCTTCCACGCTAATGCCTATAGTGGATTATCATTCCAATTCCTAAATATACACGAATGAAGCATTTATTTATATCAAATGGCAGGTACCACGTGGAGGTAAGTCTATCGCACACCCCGCGAGTAAAGTAATGCAATACCTCAACTGCTGCTACTTTGCACTGAGAACATGATTAATATATGTCCAGTGTATGTAACTCTCTCTCTCTCCATTCTCTAGCTCTTGCGGAACTCCAAGTTGTACCTTTTGTTTGCATATGTCTCTAAGGTATGTGCCATAAAGTCCACGGAGACCAATCAGCTGTAGTCAAATGCGTGCACATAGGCGTAGAATTTTTATTTTCGTCAACTGAATATCACATGTCGCTTGAATGTTCAAGTTGTCTAAGTAAATACCTGTTTTCCGTTTTTTTTAAATCTAATAGTGCATGCCTTGAATGGATTTAGATAACTATCAAAATATTGCCGCATAAAATAAATCAATATGACTTCCCCTGTCAATTATAGCACCAAAAATACCATTAATTTAGTTTAGGAGCTTTTAATGCCCTCAAGTAAGCATATGGACAGAGAAGACACCATGAAATGTTTTCCTCTTGTGATAGAAAATAATCATTTCGTATTATAACGCTCTGTTAATGGATTCAATTGTTTGCACATTCTTGAAATTTCATTGGCGAAAACTATCACTGGAAGGGGGCTGATTTTCTGCTTACCTAGTGGACTAAGACAGCATGGATGAAATTAGGACATGTTTACGGATTCAAGCTAATGGACAGAAAAATAAAGTTAGAAAGAAGTACAAATTTTGCCTCCCCCCTTTTCCTATCAAATATTTATTTATTTATTTATATCAAATGGCAGGCGTTTTGATGGTTATCATCAGCCCTGGAGCTGACTTCGGGGCTTCATGAAGAGGAGAAGGGACATCAAATTGACAAAAAGTCGAGATGGGAGACAGAATAATGATTCACAGAGGTAAAAGAGACAGACAGAGAGACACAAAGGTAGAGAAGAAGGTAAGATGAGTACTGTGGAAGGGATCGAATATGAAAAATAGTCGGACCATAGAAATTTGAAGTCAGAAGTCAATTGCCGATCAATAGACTTTTTTGCCGTATAAGTATACGTTGCCCAGGGTGCACCACGTGGAGGTAAGTCCATCGCGCACCCCCCTTTCAAAT